TTTTGGCCTATAAAAGGAGGCATTTGCCATGCATTTAGGCATCTTGGTTTTCAGATCAAGATCATGCTCTTCCTTTCTCTCTTTGTATTTTTTATGCTTTGTTTTCATTAATATTAAGTTTATGCCTTTCATTTCCTTTCCTTTACTTAGTTAACTTTTATGTTCTTATTTTGTTTATCTATTTTTCTTTCTTTCATTATGTCTAGCTAAGTTTATTATGTCAAGGTGAAAAGGTTACACTAATGGTGTAAGAATAAGTATAGTGTAAACTTAATATGGACTTTAATGTTTGATACTAACATGTTTTGTATTTGTTATCTTGTTCACTTTTTAATACTTTGCTTGTTAAATGACTAATCTTGATTTATTTTGTATAACACTTGGTACAACAAATGCTTGGCACTTTCATAGCCCATACTGTATGGTATAACCGACACTTGAGCTATGAAAGGAACTTGATTTGTTGTTAACATAAGTTATAATCATGAATACTTGACGAGATTTACAAGTATTAGCATTAATCGAATAAGATGACTAATTTAATCATGTTAACAATCTATAATCTGATTGGAACCTCCTTTGTGTGTGGTTTCCAATTGAATAATAAGAGTTTATACTATACTTGTTTGACATACCATTAGTGGAACCTCTAACCTTTACATTTGTTATTTTCATTGTTTAATCCTTACATTAATATTCCATCTCAAAGTTCTCATTTTCTTCTTTTTTTATTTATTATTACTACTACTACTACTACTACTAGTACTAGTACTATTATTATTATTATTGCTATTATTATTGTTCTTGTTATTGTTGTTGTTGTTGTTGTTGTTGTTGTTGTTGTTGTTATTATTTATAATTTATACATTTAACCTCCTTGTGGTTCGACCCTGGTTTTGCCGGGTTATTTATTACTTCGACACTCCTGCACTTGGGAGAAGACATTAATCTTTTCGTTGTGTCAATATATTTTATTTTAATTGTGCTTGTCGTTCTTTCATAGAATAAAAATCATCGATTATCATATTAATTGTAAATTTTTCAACACTTTTTTTTTTCTATATAGACAATCAAATAATTTGCAAGAAAATCATTCTCTATACAATTACGAAGTCTTATTTTAACAATTTTCATCACTGAAAAAAGCTCGTTCGGTAGGCTGTGAGTTATCAATATTTTTTTTTTTAAATCAATTCTTCTTATTTTGTTCATAGTTTAACCTAAAATTAAAACAAATATCGTAAGAAAAAATTAATAATTTTGACGGCTCTGCTAAAAAAACATAAAAAAAATCCAAGCATAATCAAAATAAACAAATAAAATATATCTAATTAATTAAAAAAAATCAATATAATAAAAATTCAAAAAATAATTGGTAGAACTAGCAGATCTAAGAAAACAAAAAGAGCAAAAATGAAAGAATTATAAAACAAACCTCATTAATATAACAAAAAAACCTCATCAAATTATTAGCAAACATCTCGAAACAAAACAAAAATAGATTTTAAATTTAAGTTACTTTGTTTTATTTGATGAAAAATAAACTAATTGGTTACTCTACTTGAATTTTATTGTAGAAACATTTTGCTTATGATTTATGTTTTTATTTATGTTTTTGATTAGCTGTAGAATTTATATTAGGATAGAGAATTTATGTTAGGGTAAATTGATGGCTCTGTTTTTTCATTTCACAAAATAATACTTTTATATTGTTTTCTTTCCACATAAGTCAAGAATAAATTCAAAAGAAATTAAAAGTAAATTCACACTTAATTTAAAACCCATCTCTTTAAAATAAAAAATATAACTCCTTATACTTCATCATCCAGTAATGAAAACAAAGAATTATAAAAAAAACCTCATTAGCATAAAAAAAAGTCTCATTAAATTATTAAAAAACATCTTAAAACAAAACAAAAATAGATTTTAAATTTAAATGAATTCATTTTTCATTTTGTTTCTTGTTTTATTTAATGAAAAATAAATTAATTAGTTACCCTATTTTAATTTTATTATAAAAACATTTTACTCGCAATTTATGTTTTTATTTATGTTTTTGATCGGCTATAAGACTAATATTAGGGTAAATTGGTGATTTTTCTTTTAACAAAATAATACTTTTATATTGTTTTCTTTCCAGGTAAGTCAAGAATAAATTCAAAAGAAATTAAAATAAATTCACACTTAATTTAAAACCCATCTTTTTAAAATAAAAAATATTGGCTGTGAGTTATCAATATTTTTTTTTAAATCAATTCTTCTTATTTTGTTCATAGTTTAACCTAAAATTAAAACAAATATCGTAAGAAAAAATTAATAATTTTGACGGCTCTGCTAAAAAAACATAAAAAAAATCCAAGCATAATCAAAATAAACAAATAAAATATATCTAATTAATTAAAAAAAATCAATATAATAAAAATTCAAAAAATAATTGGTAGAACTAGCAGATCTGAGAAAAAAAAAAGAGCAAAAATGAAAGAATTATAAAACAAACCTCATTAATATAACAAAAAAACCTCATCAAATTATTAGTAAACATCTCAAAACAAAGCAAAAATAGATTTTAAATTGAAGTTACTTTGTTTTATTTGATGAAAAATAAACTAATTGGTTACTCTACTTGAATTTTATTGTAGAAACATTTTGCTTATGATTTATGTTTTTATTTAAGTTTTTGATTAGCTGTAGAACTTATATTAGGGTAAAGAATTTATATTAGGGTAAATTGATGGCTCTGTTTTTTCATTTCACAAAATAATACTTTTATATTGTTTTCTTTCCACATAAGTCAAGAATAAATTCAAAAGAAATTAAAAGTAAATTCACACTTAATTTAAAACCCATCTCTTTAAAATAAAAAATATAACTCCTTATACTTCATCATCCAGTAATGAAAACAAAGAATTATAAAAAAAACCTCATTAGCATAAAAAAAAGTCTCATTAAATTATTAATAAACATCTTAAAACAGATTTTAAATTTAAATGACCTCATTTTTCATTTTGCTTCTTGTTTTATTTGATGAAAAATAAATTAATTAGTTACTTTATTTTAATTTTATTATAAAAACATTTTACTCGCAATTTATGTTTTTATTTATGTTTTTGATCGGCTATAAGACTAATATTAGGGTAAATTGGTGATTTTTCTTTTAACAAAATAATACTTTTATATTGTTTTCTTTCCAGGTAAGTCAAGAATAAATTCAAAAGAAATTAAAATAAATTCACACTTAATTTAAAACCCATCTCTTTAAAATAAAAAATATAACTCCTTATACTTCATCATCCAGTAATGAAAACAAAGAATTATAAAAAAAACCTCATTAGCATAAAAAAAAGTCTCATTAAATTATTAAAAAACATCTTAAAACAAAACAAAAATAGATTTTAAATTTAAATGAATTCATTTTTCATTTTGTTTCTTGTTTTATTTAATGAAAAATAAATTAATTAGTTACCCTATTTTAATTTTATTATAAAAACATTTTACTCGCAATTTATGTTTTTATTTATGTTTTTGATCGGCTATAAGACTAATATTAGGGTAAATTGGTGATTTTTCTTTTAACAAAATAATACTTTTATATTGTTTTCTTTCCAGGTAAGTCAAGAATAAATTCAAAAGAAATTAAAATAAATTCACACTTAATTTAAAACCCATCTTTTTAAAATAAAAAATATAACTCCTTATACTTCATTATCCAGTAATGAAAACAAATTCAAATTAAAATTAAATTAAAATTAAAATGTGTTGAGAGAAGTCCCGGGCATGTTTGCCCCCTTTGCTTCTGCTACTAGCTATAATACCCAATAAATTGGAAGGGATGTCTACTAATATTAATAAAACATGGCTTATCAAAAAATTAATATTTTTTTTAGTGTAGGTCATTTTAATATTTTAATATTAAAAATAATTTTTTTAAAATAAAACAATATTATTTTGAAATATTTCTAAATAAAAAATATTTTAAATAGTAACCATTATCATAATTTCAAAAAATCCCTTAATGCTTTTAAGAATGTGGTAAAGACTAAAATTTGTGTATGAAACTCAAAAAAATATATTAAAAAGAAAAAAAAAACTAGATTTTATAAATAAAATTTATGCATAATTAAATTATATCTGATTTTTACCATATTTTAAAACACATGTACGGAAGCTGCCCCTCAGTCACTGGGTTTTACCATATTTTAAAACACATGTACGGAATCTGCCCCTCAGTCACCCGTCCTATCAATAACCCACCCAACACTCCTATCAACAAGCTAAATTATAATTATTGATATAGGTTAGGGTTTTGCAGGGAGGAACCTTTTTTTGCCTCGTTGAGAGTGAAGTCAATGCTCTGAGCTATCATATTTAAATCAACGCATTCATTGCCCACTTAGCCGTATCATATGATCTGGGACGGCCTGTAGGGTGATTTAACACAGCTTTCTTTGCATTGTTTTAGATGATATTGCACAATATACTCCATTCTATATTCAGAACTTTTTTTTTTAAAAAAAAGACTTGAATAGCAAAGAAGCCAGAAAGTTGCTAAGATCAGGTGAAAGAACTTATTCTCACAAAGCTACTTAGGAAAATAGAACATTAATTGCTCAGAAAATGATCTATAGTTTGAGCAGTAAAAAAATTCTTTTTTCTATCTACCAAGGGAGCAATAACTATTAAATCTTTAATAGCCAAAATAGAAACTAAACTATTTCACAATACGCGTATAACATGGATAAGCTACCTCGAGGTGGCAAATTCCAATTCAAAGTTCTAACAATAGAAGTCTGGAATAACTTTCTCACCAAATGAAGTGGCGATATATGATCGCCGTGCCTACACTTTAACAGTGCCAGACACCACCATTGTTTCTAAGATTAAAAAAAAAGAAGAAAAAGATCCACTTCACCAAAACAATTGAAGGAAAAAGAACGGAAAAGGAAAGAATGGCCTGAAAAGCCAAGGACTAATGGAGGAAAAAACAAGGAAAAAATGGCTCGACAAAATTTGGGAAGGGTATTTATCTGAATAGATTTCTAAACATCAAGAGCCAACTTGCACAGGTATCTTATGCATCAATTAAAGGAACAAAAATGAGGATAAAAAATTGGGTTAGCACCATATGTATTCCTCCTCCTAGTCAGTTGGATGAAGAGCATGAATGCATACAAAAGTGCAACCAAACAGGTTATTCTACCACGAGAGTAATACAGATACTCATCTCCTGCTCCCTGAGCCTGAACAGATCACGCTGAAACGTGGGAGAAATATGTTGTTAGAATAACAAATTCATCACTCCCAATTACTTGAACCTCCTTCCTGTCCACAACAGTTCAACCATCAAAATCATTGATTGAAAATGGAATGAATATTTACCAAAGTAAGAAACAAAGGAAAAGAAAAGATTAAAAGGGAGACAAACCATGTCAATTAAACAGCACATGCACCCAAACCCAAAATGCATAAAAATCACATCAATTCAATTGCAATTGCAATCTCCATCTAGAGCACTTATGCAGTAGAGTTTCCAACAGATTCTATGTAAGGGAAATTTAGTTCATTCTCTGAGCAGCTAAGATTCAGCAAATGAAATAAATCAGAGTTGTTGTCTCAGTAAAAGATATGTACATACCAGGGAGGGTAAATACAAATCAAGTTCCCTAAATCAAGGTCAACATTGCTGCAAACTCTTGGACTAAAAATAACCGTTCTAGTCCTTCCTCTATCAACAAATGTTTTGGAGTCCTCTGGTGACTGGGAATCCTGCAGAAATAGATATGCACCTTTTGTTTTCATTTTGCAGAAGCATAAACATGTGAGCAAGCTTGGGTAGAGATTTGATGTTAGAAACACATATTGCTCTGTGATTGGTGTCAGTATTTCAAACTGGGGTGCAGAGATAAAGAGAGAATTTAAGGATTAGAAGATGATTTGGACACCACAATAGTCAGACTCAGTTCAGATTGAATGATCCACATGGTGTTGATGAGAAATTTGCACTCAGCACCAAAACTTCCAAAAGAAAAGATAACATCAACAAGCAACTTGGTATTTAACAACATCAAGCCTGTTCATACATTTTCACTACCATCTAGGTCTGAAGTAGTTGAAATAATCCATATGAAACATGGTCTGAAATTTAACACAACCTTTATATTCTCACCAAAAGTGCAATGACAAACTATCAGCTTTGCATCAAAGCATCTGGACAGGATCTTTACAACTATGGAGTATGGTTCACCTGTATCACACAAGTGCCAAAGATTAGTGGTGGATACATGGACAAATAACAAGCCTCTTTATATCATTTGTCCATATAAAAGTGTTTTATGCAAGCCACTTTAAAGAAATGCTTTATAAATGAAAGGAGTGTATGATCATAAGGCTTTTACTATTTGGGTTTGCTTCCATCTGTAGCTTTTTCAGAAACTCAGAATCTCTTTCCCTTTCAGTCTGTGTGACCTGCTGCAACTTCCCAAACAAACCAATACTGCAGAATTTGGCGGAGAAGAAGTATACTTGATTTAGAACTGCTATTAGACTTCACTTAATCAATCACCAAAAGCATGCCTAGTAACAGAAAGAAACTAGTTCTATTCTTTACCCTGATGGTTTAGCTGCTGCAGAAATGACCCCTTCATCACTCACAGAGGTAGCAGCTAAAGCTTCCTGAAAGCGATCAGCGATAGTTCGCTTCTTCATCTCCAGGTCAGCAAGGTTTATGTTCTGATGATTGGTCTGTGAAGTTCAAATGTACAGATGCCATTGATGATTTTAACACGAACCATCATAAACTAGTGACAACCAAGTAATACCTCGTCATCACTAGATGATCCATTAGCCATCAGCTCAGGTTGGTCTTCATCATCAATGATTCTATCTCCCAATAAAGACATACTTCTCTTCATGACTATCTGTCCCCTTCTTGATTTTGTTCTGCTAAACTGCAGTATATACTTGATCAAACTCAGAAAAGAGAACTGTATATGAAAGCAAATTTACAGTTCAGAGAAGAATGCTAACCCATTTAGAATTTCCCCTTGGCTGAATTTTCTTATCCTGAAGGCCATCCAAAATTTCAGCCATTGAATGGTCAAAAAAGCCATTGCCAAGAGCTTCAGCTTCCACAGGCTCAATCTCTGACAGGTTCACATTTTCTCCAAAAAATTCCTCATGAAACACAGGACTTAAATTTTCAGGATTTTTATTCTCAATTGTTTCCGATCTTTCAGGCCTATCATCAACCTTGAATGTGATGGGATTTTTATCTTTAGAAATAAAAGGTTGATAAAGTCCATCTTTGTGTGACTGAAAATGGAAAGCAAATTTTGGCTTGGCTTTGCCTCTGATACCTGCAGGTCATGAAGGTACTCACGTTTGAGGAACTAAGGCATCATCCTTGTACAAAGCCAAATAAAGCAGCAGACTGAACAACTTGGCTGCCAGAAAATTAAGTTAAACAATACAGCTCCAGCTCACCAATTAGAAATAAAACAAAAAAGAAAAACAGATCTAGTCCGTAACTCAAGCATACATGATGCAGCATACTCAAGGTTTGTAAGCAAGTAGTTATCTTCCTTAGCAACTCAACATGCACAAGCTGGGAATTTCCTACAGATTGCTGCTATACTCATGAATAATGCTTAGAAACTTTCCTTACAAGCTGAGCTGGCTTGTCAGGATGGCTAGCCACAAAAGTGAGGGTTCTGAAAAGAAAAGCAGAGCTAAAATTGATGCGCGAGTTAATTGAGTCAACTCAATGAAAAACTGTCTCTGAACTTCAACTTTTTTCCTTGTCCCAGCCATGTCTCACTAATGTCATGGTTGGGTTCTCCATCTTATTTCCATCACCCAGCAATAGCAGATAGAACATGGTTGGGCTGCATGCCGAGTCACTTCTTGTGCAAGTTTGGTATCAAGTGTTTGTAGGTCTAGCATTTTCCTATGATGTTCAATAATGGTTGCTGAGTGCGAGAAACCCAAATAGGAAAGTTCAGTGAGAGGTGTAATTGGTACTTTATTTACAGTTTCATGTGAATATATGTCAAAGGTCAAACCACGCATATTGTTTATTCTACGTAGGCTTTTGTTCATTTCTTAGTTTGGTTCATTGCCAATCCATGTCTTCGGTCTGTCTCCCAACACAAACAAATATAGAAGGGCTGAATTCACCTATACTTTTTGAATAAGAAGGCACTCCACCAATCTCAAGAGAGATGTAGATACAGCACTACTTCGAATGAGAGAATACCTTTATGAGATTTGTTTCCTTTATAATAAGCAGAATGGGAAGAGAGTGAGTTCTCATTCAAATTGATTAGTGTCTCAGCCTCTTTATTCACCAGGGACCATGTGCATGCTTCAGCTTGCTTCTCCCTTCCAAAACCTCGAAGATTATTATTACCTTTATCAGACTTTGTGTCACTGGACATAACTGAATATTCCAACAATGCATGTTTATCCTGTTCCAGCATATTTCACAAAATAATGATGATGATGACCACTAAAAAAAGGAAGGAGTAGTGCGAAGAAATGCACAAAGTACCTCGTCATCACAATCGACTTCATCTTTAGAGTTATGTGCAGATCCTTTTCTAGGGGAGAAAAAGAAAGTACCCTCATTAGGGAAATCAGGCATCTCGAGCTCATCGTCGATTTTGAAACTTGTTTGCTTCTGATCATGGCAACACCATCGCATTAGTTTTTAATATATTCCAAACAGACTAGAAAAGGAGAGCTACAAAGGATATCTCATTACACATGCCTCACGCGCTAAATTGCTAATTCTATTTCCACAACTTTGCGCATTCATAACTGCATGCACGGGCAGAGTAATCATGAAAAAAAAAAAAAAAGTATTCAAAATCATCAGAGATAGCGAGCAGTAACTAACTAGCTTTTCTAATCTAACACATTGCACGAGAAATTTACAAAAAAAAAAAATACAATGTCAGCACGTCATGTTCTTAGAAATAATATGCAAAAATTGAAAAGATACCTCGAAGGATATCCAGTCGTGACTGAAGTTCCCATCCTTCCTATTTTTTTTTTATAAAAGAAATGATAAGAACTTGATCACTGATTTAAGAGTAAAACTTGCACTCATTGCAGTAGTTAAAAAGGGAAGTAAATAAAGTAACCTCTTTCAGTGTATTTCCAGTCAAAGAAACACAATTTTCTCTCAAATCTCCGTCAAAATCTTCCTCGTCTGTTAAATTGTGGCCAAATAAAATCAATAAAAAACCCTAAAAAATATAACTAGATTTAATTTTGCAAATGTCTGAAATTACCAGAAATGCTATGATCAGAATCCCATTTTCCCTGAAAAAAAAAAGAAAAATTATCGAAAGGCAAAATATTACTCGCTAAAACAGAAAATAGAACGTGCGAAGAACTTCAGAGAGTCTCTTGCCGCTACCGGGAAAGAATTTTGCCGCCACATTTTCAGGGTGGCCAATTAACAACCGACAAGTGAACCTTATTTCTTTTCTTGTAGACGGGAGTACTTTTTAAGTGTTGCATCTTCAGTTTTTGGGCCTGGCCCAACATCACCTATCACCGTCAAATCCAAATTTTACTCCTCGGCCCCGGTGGGTGTGATATTGAAGAAATTTACCTCGCCCATCATACAATCCATCATGTTTATTTATTTATTTATTGTAATGTAATTCACGCGCGACAATCTCTACATTTCTATGTTTGATTTTCTTTTTTAGGTGTGATATTATTGCATGGGTTTTAATAGTTATTTGCATTTTATATAAAATCCGAATAAGAATTGATATCACATTATCAATGCAATTCGATCACTTCAGCGATGAGAAAAGGAAATAAAAAAAAATGGATGCATTACCTATTACCTTAAAACACTTAAAGATTTTGCTTGGATGATGGTGCTCTCAATTCTCATCAACAGTATAGCATTTAATTTTCCTTTTTTCAATCTAGTTTTAATTTTTGGTTTTTTGTGCTTAATTTTACGAACTTTTGATTTTATTATCAATATAATTAAATAAAACTATTTTTTAAAATAAAGTTATCAAACTTGATTAAATCAATGGCCCAAATTATACATTTAATAAATTAATTTAAATTAATTAAAAATTAACTTTTATGTTAATTTTTTTTTATAGAGCTATTATGATGTTAAATAAATATTACAGTAATTAAGAGTTCTTGCTTTAAAAATTTGTTTCATATAACATTTTTTTAATAAAAAAAATACAACATAATGGATCGTGGACCATCCTTGCTTCATGATTTATAAAGAAATGTACAAAAATGTACACGAAAAATTACATGATTTATAAAAAGATCAAGAAAATCTAAAGGAACAACAGTTTGGAATTCACATATATTTTTTTAATATTATTATTGTCTTGTTAAAGGATTGGTGAATAATGCTGAAGAAGAACATATATTTTTTTTAATTATATCTGTTTCATTAACAAAAATGACTTTCTTCAATATATATATTTCTTAATCCCAGCCCCTTCATTCTTAAAGTGTTTCGTAAACTTGACAGAATGGAGATTGGAAAAAAATGAAAGATGTGGGGTCTGATTAAAACAAAACAAAAGTTTCAGATTAAATTGACATAACACATTAACCTTAGGTGGTGTATTGAAATTTAACCTAAAAAACATATACTCCAAGAAAACCCATCGTGTACAAAATGGATGGGTTATATTTTATGCCCGGAAAAGAACAATCCTGTAAAAGCGCGCTTTTCTGTCCCCCACCCCCACCCCAACTAGAGGAAACACTTCCCTGATACGCTGATGCAACATAAGCATCTCTCTAACTCATCATCATACCGTACATCCCTGATTCAAAATCAAAGATCAGATCTTATCAATAGTTCAACCAGTTAAATCAATCACACATCCGTCATAAAGTAGCCCGTTCCTCACCTGATCCCTGCAAAAGTAGAAGCCTCCCGCGCCATTTTGATTTTCCAAAAATCTAACAAAAATAAAAAAATAAAATACAAATCCGATTTTTCTCACAAAACAAGCGAGAGAGAGAGAGAGGGGCCGAAGAGACTCAAGAGCCACGGAACGAGAGAGTGAGAGTCGATGAAGAGGAATACCCTAACAAAGAGAAGCTACAGGAAGAGTAATAGGAGGAGGGAGGGTAGCAGCACCGCCAAAATGAAGCGCCCGTTAGTAAGTCACCTGCAGCAAGGCCAGCACCACCAAATCCAATCATCCTCTTCCACCTCAGCAGCATCATCGTCTCGATTCCAGAACCTTTTGGACTCCGAACTAACCGATCCTCAGCTGGCTGCCGAGGATGTTGATGAAAGAGATTTCATCCTCAGTCAGGATTTCTTCTGGTAATTTGTGTTTCTTTATTAGGACAATAGATGAATATGAATTTAATAATATATATATTTTTTTAATAATGGGTTTTAACTAGGGTTTTGTCCGAAAACTGGACGAGTAGTTATATTATTAATTTAATTTATTTGAAATGCAATCCCGTTTTGGCGTCGATGAATTGATATATGCATTCTGCAAGTATTTGAAGTTATAATATGTTGTTTTTTCCCCTTACAATTCTTGTAAATGCAGCACTCCAGATTATATCACACCAGACAATCAAAATCTACTTTGCAGTTCTGATTGCAACAAGGTGATGCTTTAAGCAGTGTTGTACAGATTGATACATGCTGTCGATTGAAAATGATTTTTCCGACTTTTTGTTTGACTTACCACAGGAAAACATTCAGTGCCCCAAATCACCGGAGAAAGTGAACACTGCCAAAATAAAAAAGCTTCGACAGGGTAAGATGGGTTTTAATATTGTGCGGAATTCTTGACCGGTAAAGCTTGATGGGTTTTATATTGCTTCTCTTTTGTGGTATCCATCCCCAGTTCATCCTTTCAGCCCTACATTGTCGGACCAGCAACAAATTGTGGATATTGGGAAAGATAACATCAATTCAGAGGAAATGATGATTGAGAAAACATCAACTGCTGAATTAAAGAAGCCTCAAAATTATGTATCACAATCTGCTGTTTATCTACGCTGTCGGGTCATGCCCCCTCCTTGCATCAAGAACCCATATTTAATGGATGCTTCAGAAGTGGGTATAGATCCATTTGGCAATCAGAGATCAAAATGCGCAGGTGCATCCTTGTTAGTTATCAGTGAACATGATTGTACTGGGACTCCTAAAATTGTGTATCCATTATTTTTTGTCTAAATTTTAAAAATTCAAAATATTGCTCTAGATAAAGGTCATTTAGAATATTTTAGTTACCTTATGCTACAATCTACAGAATTTTTTCCTGCATTTGTCCACGGAGATGGCCTATCACGCTATCACATAGATTTTCACGAGATCCAGGTATGTATCCAGATTCTAAAAGCTATGTTCCTGTTCAAATCACTATGTTTCATTTCTAGTGCTTACTTTTAGTACTTTGCTTCCCCTTAAAGCAAATTGGAACTGGGAACTTCAGTTGTGCTTTCAAAGTTCTGAAAAGAATCGATGGTTGCTTGTATGCGGTGAAGCATAGCACAAGGCAGTTGCATCAGGACACAGAAAGGTAGTTTCTTCATGTTTTTAAGATTCCAAAATCATTTGTCCAACCAACATATTTATGCTGTACTGTTTACATTTTACAGGAGGAAAGCATTGATGGAGGTTCAAGCTCTAGCAGCTTTAGGTTAGTGTAGTACTATTTTCTGAGCTTTTTGTACTTCTGCTTGCTGTGGCATGAAAGAAAATTTTCCTAGTTGGTTTAATGCTCTTACATCTGTAGGATGTCATGAGAACATTGTTGGATACTACTCTTCTTGGTTTGAAAATGAGCAACTCTACATTCAGATGGAACTCTGTGATTGCAGCTTATCTGTCAATAGATCTTCCAAATCCTTAACAGAGGGAGAAGCACTGCAAGTCTTGTTTCAGGTGAACATTTTCCTGGGACCATATAAAACTCAAAGCTTCATATGAACTGGATAATTCTCAGTGGTGACATATGCATTTTCACAAATTAACTTTTTCTGAAAATATCAGCAAATTTCATATGCTATTTCTTACACCAGAACTTTTACAGATTGCAAAGGCATTGCAGTTTATTCATGAGAGAGGAATAGCTCACCTGGATGTGAAACCTGATAATATTTATGTCAAGAATGGAGTTTATAAGCTTGGTGATTTTGGATGTGCAACTCTTCTTGACCAGAGTCTACCAGTTGAAGAGGGTGATGCACGTTATATGCCTCAAGAGATCCTGAACGAGAACTACAATTATCTTGACAAAGTTCACATCTTTTCCTTGGGAGCAGCTATTTATGAACTTATTAGGGGGTCAAATTTGCCACAATCAGGATACCAGTTTATGAACCTTAGGGAGGGAAAACTGCCCCTTCTTCCTGGTCATTCGTTGCAACTACAAAACTTACTAAAGGTATCGCATGTTATTTTCTTGTCTTCTCTACTTGTGGTCCATCCTGGTTTTGTGCCCTGTCCTTCAGCAGATCAGGATTTATTTGACTCACGGGGCTCATAAAATTTATGTGAAATAAGCTATAGTAATAAATTGGTAATTCATGCACAAAAATTAAAATTACAATTGTATTAGTTATGATGCAAACCTCTTACTCACGTGGGCAAACAATCCTCAATGAAGTAGATAATAACTTAAAAAACTAAAAATTATATTTGATAAAACTTTCAACAAGAGATAACCCTATACCTAAGAACTAAAATGGTTGAAAAAGAACCTGGATAAGAGATAACCTTGTATTTAAAAACTCTAAGTATACGAATGATGCTGCAAAGTTAGTTAATTTTTAATAAGTTTATGATCTTTTTCATTATAAAAAAGATTATTTTGCCACAAACAAATAAAAGAAAAACTCATGCTTATTTTTCAACTTGCTATTGAGATTTGTAGCTAAAAAAAACATAATATAGCCTTCCCTAACTAACCTTAATAGATCTTTTTTAGATTACAAGCTAATGAATTTAAACTAGTAATTAATAAACATAAGTCAAATAATGAAATAAACTCCTAAATAATGTCTAATAGGTTGGAACAAACTCAAATTAAATATAATTATTTAAAAATAAATAAATAAATAAAATAGGATAATAAAAACAAAGTTTTCATGTAAAAATTCCTCCACGTAGTTTGAATCTTTAATTTTTGCACATTCTTGATAGATTTTTAGTCTTGACTTCAAACATGTCGTTCTTTCTCGTCTGGATGAATTATTGAGCCTGCTATAGATGGTTGGAAAGCTTCAGATATTTAGTTTCTAAACTAATTTGAATCGCAGAAAAATTCCACTTGTAACTCTAGCTATATCCTAAGTTATACACAAAGGTTTAGTCTGACAGATTTGACAAAATTTGTCTATTAACTTTGATCTTTTGAAATAAGATGTTCCCAAACTACATTTGACATGAAAATTTACCAAAATTTAGTTTCATGTGTCTAGTATCTCCTTGTAAATTTTTAGCTCATTTTGATATATGGTTTGAGAGATACGTTCAATCTTACAAAACTGGTCAATAGATATTTTAAGATCAAATCCAGACCTGACTTGGTTCGTATCTTCCTCCCTTTCTTTAAAAAGATTTGACCTTGAATTTATATTATAGAAAACATCATCTAAGGTCAACAAATCAGTGCTAGGTAGAAGAATAGCATCATCATCAAAAAAATATCTTTTAAGGTCAACAAATTAGTGCCAAGTTGAAGAATAGCATCATCATCAAAATCAAGAATAACCTTGTTAGTAAAGAAGGTCCTCTTGATAAGCTATCCTTCTTAACTATCTTCTTCCTTTTCAATTTCAGTTGCTCTTCATATAATTGCTTAGGTGTTAAAATAGAAGAGTTACAAGTCTTTAATTCATCATGCAAAAATAACTCCCCTATCATATTGTCATGGTCTATCAAGTAATAAGTAACTAACTTGCATTGACATAACATCACATAACACTTTATCACAATATTTACCAATAAAAGAAGTAATCAAAACATGCTTATTCACTTTCACTTCACCACCATTATTCAACCACTATAATTTATAAGGTATGAGATGTTTGATGGTGTGCAAGTTCAATTTGCTTACCAATTCAGTACTAGTTATATTAGTGCAACTACCACCATCTATAATTAAGTTACATACTTTATTATGAACATGGTATCTCATGTGGAGTATGTTCTTCCTTTAACCTTCCAAATCATCTACCTTGACATGCATATTTATTGCACTTCTCGCCACAAATGCCTCTCCCTCAACCAGATATTCAAGACAAACATCATCAACATCCTTCAATGGTGACATTTTCTCCTTTTCATCCTCGCCACCGATTTCAGCCCCATTGTTAGCTTTCATAACCATGACTTTTTTGTTTGTACATTATAAAGTAACATGACCAAAATTCAGATGATGAAAACATTTAATGTCACAATTATGAGAAGTAGGAGTAATATTGTTACCTTTAACAACAACTAAGATGTCTTTCTTCTCTTTAGGGTATTTGGCCTTGCCCTCCTTATTTTGATGTGATGGACCACTCCAGTGTTGGCCTTCCAATTGGGTTTTTAAGGTTTTAAAGGGCTTAATGGTTGGCTTTGCGAGATGGTATCCTTTTGTTTAAGTTGTTTCTCCACCTTCATGGCTAGATGCACCATCTCTTCTAACTCCACATAATGACGCAACTCCATAATATAAGTTATATCATGATTAAGGCCATTCATGAATCTAGCCATAATAGCCTCCCTATCCTCGTTAACATTAGTTTGAATCATAACAAGTTCCATCTCCTTGAAATACTCATTAATATTTTTTTATATCTTGGCTCAAATTTTGCAACCTTTGATACAATATTCTATAATAATGGCTAGGCACAAATCTTCTCCTCATAAGAAATTTCATCTCATCCCAAATATTAATTTGCCTTTCATAATTCCTCATATGGTTTATCACTAATTGATCTCATTACACAATGATATAGTTAGTAAAAACAATCACGACAAACTTGATTTTCTTGGGCTTTAGATAACCGTGACACTAAAAAATCTACTTTACCTTTTTCTCTTACTTTAAATAAACTTCATGATCATTCTTTCCTTGAAAAGTTGGTGTTTTTAGCTTAATTATACCCAAATCTCCACACAACTCAGCATTATGGTCTTGGTATCTGTAATTATCCCTATACCTAAAATTATCACTATATATTTTCCCTACAAACTGACAATTTCGCTATTGTCCAAAATGTTCTCCATGTCTCACAGACATTTCTTCAAAATCAACATTACTCATGTTTGCATTATCAGCTACAAAATTATCCACATTAGTGTTTACTTGTATAATAGCTGTCCTAATATTAAATTCTTTTTGTTGAGGCCTAATTTGAACAATATCATGATCATTAACATGCTGTCTCTCCAACCTATCTAATCTATCTCTAAATTCATTGGTTATTTGATTCATCCAATGATTCATAATACATAACTAAGTTATAATTTCACTGTCTCCTCTATGTGGTGTCATGTTGTTGTTTGCCTTTGATATCTTTGAATCCGAAATCGGTTAGCTAACAATAAATATATATTCCTCATCCACTCCCTCACATGCTTACACTCTCTTGTTTTATTTAAGTATGGATTTTTCTCATCTCACCTTTCTTTGACTCTTATGAAATTAAAATCAATACCAAATATAACAACCCTAATAGTATATCCAAATATATATATATATATGACTCGAAAAGCAAGAAAAATATGAAAACAAACAAAGATGAAATTACAACTACCATTTTGTGAGTAACAAATAATTTTTTTTTTGAAAAATGGACATTTTTAAAGACATGAAAGAAAAAAAGATGCAAAGGTTATATAATTTTTTTTTTAATTGACACCTAAATATATCAATTATGATGTTACTATACTGTTGTAATTGAAAAATAACAATAGCAATACAAGTTTGAATTACTAATGCAAATTAGATCCATTATGAGAAGTTTTAATCTTGAATTTAGTTTCTATAGTAAAAAAACTCCAAATGATCTTAAATTTTACATGGGTGAGATTAGAATCTTAAAACCTAGTATATAAAATTTGAGAATTTTTTGAATTTATTTGACTTGAAATCCCTTCTAATACGAATCAGATTTGTTATGACAAGTTTTAATCCCGATCTTGGTTACCATAGCAAATAATCTCCAAATGAGCTCAAATTTTATATGGGGTGCAATTAGGACTCCTAGAACCAGTATACAAAATTTGAGAATTTTCCGAATTGGTTGGATCCAAATTCTCCCTTGTTTTGTGTTTTATGGCAGATTCGAAAAAAGTGATTTATGGACATTTTTTTTTCTAACTCTTTATGCTACTGATATATTTTGAGGCAACAACAAAATAAAATAAAACCTCTTTTTTTAAGGAACCTTAGATGCAAATTACTAAACTTTAGACATGAAATAATTGAAAACCAAATCAAAGACACAACTAAACCTGAGAAAGCTAAAACTAACAAGAAAAAAATAAAAAGATATAATCTAATTTTTGAGACCTAGCTCTAATATCAACTGATGTGAACCTCTTGATTACGTAGTCAAGCAATTTTCAACAAAGTAGATAACGACCCAAATCTTCAATTTTCATATATTTTTGACAAATTTTCAGTCCTTCAAACACGTCATTCTCTCTTGTCTAGATGAATTACTAGGTCAACCATATATGGTTGGAAAGTTTGAGATATCTAATTTCTAAACTAACTTAAATCACAGAAAAATTACACCCGTAGCTCCAAATATGTCCCAAACAGTACATAAAGGTTTGGTCTGACAGATTTGACAAGACTTTTTTATTAACTTCGAGTCTTCGACCATCTAAAATAATATGCTCTCAAACTCCATTTAAACTGAAAATTTATCAAAAATATAGTTCCATATGTCTAGTATCTTCCTATAAAATTTCAGCTTGTTTTGATGAACAGTTTGAGAAATATGTTTGATCTCATAAAACTAGTCAGCAAATATTTTAAGGCTAAATTTAGACTTGATTTGGTTTGTATAAAGTTAAAGTGTGTGAGTTTGCGCTTGGGGATCATAAACCAATCTTTGCCCAAAAAATTGGGTCCTTTTCAGGCTTGTTGGGATGGGTATTCAGCAAGGCAGACCAGATTGCCCTTGTGCTTGTTGATTTGTATGGAAATGGGTCTAAGCTGTCTTCAAGGCAGCATCTTAAAAGAAAAAACATGCAGTTTTGCTCAATTTCTTAGTTCAGAATGGTTCTCTTACCTGCACTTCCTGTTCTATCTTATTTCACTGGTTAGAATTGTCCCTGTGTAGTATAGTTTGCTGGAACTGTATATGGAGCACTAACAAAATAACATGTTAGTAGCCTTTTTTGAATTTCTTAAGCTGACAAACAGAATTCGTTGCCCCATTAAGTAGCTGTTCCTTGTAATAACCTAAACCTGCTTGAAGCAATTTATATACTTCAAGTATACTATGTTGGAAAGCATTTTGTTGCAGATGAATCTTGTTCTTTCATCATGTATCAAGTATACTATTTTTATGAAATATCGATAAACGTTTTCCATCAAAAAAAATCTTTAAATTGCATGGCTTTTTTGATCTGATCGTTTGGTAATTCTATCAGGTCATGGTCGATCCTGATCCCATCCGGAGGCCTTCTGCTAAGGAATTAGTGGAAAATCCAATATTTGATAAGTTTCAGAGAAATCTTAAATCCCAAGCAAAAGCTTAACTGGATTTTGACAGGGACAGTTTTGTATGTGGCTGCAAATGATCAGTTACCCTACCAAGAGGCCCAGTTAGATTATGAATGGCCAATTTTGTGAAAAACAGTCCCTTTTGTAGTACAGACTCCAAAATTTCTCCCCTGCTGGGTGAATTATGAGGTATGTACTGCACTCATCAAATGCTGCGTTTTGAATTTAAGGTATGCAATTGTAATGAAAATGCCCATTTAAGGTATACATTTTGTGCGCTTTTTTTTTTTTTAAAAAAAACTTGTTTATATAGGCAGTGAAATGTCAACCACATCATTAACAGGATACAGATGATAATCTGATATGACCATGCGGGAATGGTGCAAAAGGATTCATGTAACTTATCCCAACTAGTTTGGGATAAAAGCTTCGCTGTAGTATACTGTCAAAGTTGATGGTTTGATTTAAACAATGCACAGAAATAATTATTTAGGTTAGGTTTCTCTTCCAATGTGGTTCAGAAAACAACCTGATTGCTGCAGAAGCTACCAATTTAATTTAGATATCTTCTACTATTCTTTCCATTTGAAGTGACGGTCTGCAAGTCCTAGTTTTGCCTTTGCCATTTGACAGCATTCTGGGAACATTGGAAATAAGATGAGCCAAATTTGCAAACAATAATCTTGCAATGAGCTGTGTCGTTCGGTACTCGACTTGAGGTTGCTTTGAATGAAAGTCTGGACAAAAAAGTTAGCTTGTAATTTGAAAAAAAGAAGGTAATTGGTATCCGAGAGGTCTGCCATGTTTTCACTTTGTGAGAGATGCTCTTCGTATGTCCATTAATCTGAGTTGTTCGAATTTAGAATGCGGTCCTTATCTCCAAGTTGATTGTAGCTTATGCATGTTATTTGCCCTGGCTTATTATTTCCTTCATTGAATCTAGCACATACCATAACCATATAAGTTAGTCAATTATTTGTTCATTAGGAATGAACACATGGAAATCTACAAGAACCGATTAATTATTTTCTTTGTTAGGGGAATAATAATAACTAAAGCAATTAGTTTTTGCTAGAAACATATATATAACTTGTCTAATTATATAATTACATATAGAATTCAAAAATATATTATATACAAGCTATTTTAAGAGTAAAAATACTTTAAAATTATTAATACCTAATCATGCTCATATTTATACATTCAAACTTTTATAATTTTGCATAAGAATATATATTTTTATTCTTACAATATTTAAACACTTTTCAATCCATTAAGTGCTATCTTATCATATATAAAGAGACTAAAACTTTTAATTGTATTATCCACTATTGAAATAGTGTCTTGTTATAAAAAAGAATCATCAATTGTAAACCTTTTGAGAGTTTAGGTAAAAAAAACTTGTAGTTATTGGTGAGAGACATCACCATGGTAAAATCTTGAAGAGAGATTTTCTTCATGTGGTGAAAAAAAGAGTCGTGTGGATTCATCAAGTGATATTGTATCTTGAACTTGAATTAGTGAAGGATACAATACTCAAGTACGTCGTGTGAATATAGATTTGTTGAACCATGTTAAAAACTGAGTCTTCAATTTCTATTCCTTACCTTTTTATTTTATACAATTTAATTATATTATTGGTTAATTGTATTTAATCCAAGTAAATTGTATTATTTATTATTATTAGTGGAACATCTAATTTATCCCCTTATGTATATTGTTGCTTTAATCCTAGAACAATAATGACATGTTAAGTCATGTGAATTATAAGTTTTTTTAAAAGTTAATAGACTATGAATTATTACTAAGTATGGTTTTTGAGAAAAATATAAGTGAAATTTATGTAGAATTAAAATTTACAAAACCTTATTTTTATAAACAATTATAAGTAGTGAATTTCTAGATTTAATTCACTCATATGTCAATGATTTAAAGTTTATGCAAATTAGAGGTATAAAAAGTATTATATTACTTTTATAGATGATTACACAAGATATTACTATATCTATTTGCTTAGAAGCAAAGATGAGGTTATGTTGTCAAATGAGTGCAAAATTAACAAAGTTGATAAATTTGTATATGTGAATATTTATGTCATTATATGTCTATATATATGTGACATGTTGATTTTAGACAATAATAATCACATGATCAAGTCTACTAAAAACATATTAAGTTTGACACAAAAAACTTTGGTGTTGGATATGCCATTTTATAAACAAAAATTTCTAAGATATCTGATGGATTGATATTTTCTCAATCTCATTATATTGAGAAAACTCTGACCAAATTTTCTAAAGGTAACAATAGTACTATCAAAACACCAATTAATATAAGTGTACACTTGTCCAAGATTAGAGATAAAAGAACAAACCAATTAGAATATTTTCAAGTAATTGAAAGCTTAATGTACTCTATGAACTGTACAAAGCGTGGTATTGCTTACTCGATTAACAAACTAGGTAGATTTATAAGTCATTCAAGTATAAATCATTACAAGGGTATTAAAATATTTTAGATATATATTGAACTATGAGCTAGTTGAACTAATCCAACTATATTGGTTACCCAATAATACTAGAAGAGTATAATAATGCCAATTGGATATCCGACACTAAAAATTTAAAATCCACAAGTTGATATATCTTTGCACTTAGTGAAGCAGTTGTTTTATAAAAATCTTCTCAACAAACATGTATCACAAGTTCAAAGATGGATTCAAATTTTGTTACTCTTGATAAAGTTGAAAAGGAAACTAAATGACTTCAGAATCTCTTAGAGAATATTCCATGTTGGCCATAATTAGTGTTAGCTATTTGTGTTTATTGTGATAATCAATCAATAATTGAAATGACATAAAACAATATGTATAACGGTAAGTCTAAACATGATACAATTAAACACTTGTTAAATGGTATTATATCTATTGACTATATAAAGTTAAAGGAATTATGGATCTATTAACCAAAAGTTTATAGAGAGAGCTAATCATCAAGGAGAATGAACTTAAAGTCTTTAAAGATGAAAGAGTTTGATAATGATAACAATACATATGATAAAATCTAGGTTCAAATGAAAAATAAAGTCATATAACATTATTGGTAGTATTAGAAAATTATTATTTCATACTTATTCTTTTAAAAAAGATAAGTACTAGCTGTAGCGTGACAAATGGTGAGTTGTGTTTTTAATAATTTGCATATCTTGATACATCTAGTGGAGTATAACATAATATTTTTAATGAGATCATCTATATAAGTGATAAATATGATAGTTTTTTTTTATAATTTTGATAAAGACTGGATTCTCTAAAGCACTTATGAATTCATGAGTTATTCAGGGCCAAAATGAATATAACAATAAGAACCAAATCAAATATTTAGGTAGATAACTATGTACGTACTCTTGTCTCAATTTATATAAAAAGCTGAATAGTTCAAGATATCTTGTTCACCATTTATCCAAGTAAACCTATAGTATTCTATTAAGGAATGTTTAAAGCCAAAAACTACATATCGTGATGTAGTAATTTACCAAATTAATATATCTCAATAAATCTTCAAGTCATTTTTAAACTTGTCAGATAATTTCTATTCATGTTAAGGATTGTTGGAAAATTTTGTTTAGAACATGGTTAATGAGCGCTTTTGAGGCTAAAATAAAATTAGGGTCCATTTATTTTTTGGGTTAAAACTTTGTTGGAACTTAATCTTTAACATAAGTTCTTTAACGTGAAACATTAATATGATTTAAACTATCTTAAATAACCTTTGATTGTCTTGTTTTTATAAAATCCAAAGAACTCCATTCTACATAAAAAAAAAAAACAAAACTGTCTTGGTGTTTAGAAAGTGAACAGTTAAAAGTAAAAAAATTAGCTCTAAAAGACACTCAATCTTTTAGAGAGAAGTCCTAATAAAAGTGGGGCTTGTGCTTAAACCTGCGCGCGCGCATAGACTCGACCCGACCTTGTGCTTAAACCTGCGCGCGCGCATAGACTTGACCCGACCCGACCCGACCCGACCCTACTCATGCTAAGGTTTTGGGCATGAGTTTATTGTAAATAATATTTTAGACTATAAAAAAATTATTTTTTTCAATTGAAATTTGGACTTAGGTCTAACCCATGAAGAATTATTTTTTCTGATTTACTGTCTTGTCCAATCCAACCCTTAAATGTTAGCACTTTAATACTCTTTTCAAGAAACATTTTCTTTAAGCCTAAGAAGTTTTTTTTGCGAAAAATATTAAAGTTTAATTCTTGATCTATGTTGGCTAATTAAAGGTTAATAATGGTAGAAATTAATTATGATTATAACATAATTAATTCTTTAATATTTTAGCTTTCAAAATTCATTGTAGGGTGGTTTCTACTAGTTTTTTTAAAATTTTTATACACTCTTCCTCACCTTTTTTTTTGTTAGTTTTTTTCTTTTATTTTGTATGTTCTGATTTTCCTTTTAAATATAGAGTAGAGGTCCTACTTTGTTGAGAGATAATTGAGTCATTTTACTTTGTTTTGAAAACCTTATTTAGAAGTGCATCTAAACTAAGGTGGTGTCGTTGTAATCTTGAGAGAGTTATTGTAAATATTTTTTGCACCAAGAGAAGAGTAATAAAGTCTTAAGAACAAATAATTTATAATTGACAAGAACAAAAACTTAAAGTAGTTCTATAAATAAGTACTTTTCTTTATTTTTATTTAAACTTAGATATTTTGTATAATAAGTATACATATTAGAAATTTATTTTGATATGAATTACAAGTTTGATATACAAAGTATTTGTATTGGTATACAAAATCATTAGTTATTCACAATAAGAAAAATAAAACCAAATAATAAAAAATCAACTAGATGTAGTTATTAATAATTAAAGGTTCAATTTTAGTGGAGAAAAAGAGCAACACTATTGTTGAGACACACTTTCTACATTAAATGATACAAAACACAGCCACTACCTCAAAAATCTCACATTAACAAATAATAGAAAACGAGAAACACAAAGATATATCTTAGGTGGGCTATAAGGAAAAAAAAAAAAAAACCTCAAAATACTACTAGTTATGAAGTATATAACAAAGAACACTTTAATACAACAATAAAAATCTGCAAGTTTTAGTGTCGTACACCTTAATGCTTAAGATGCAAACATACTTGTGTGTATGTGCGTGCACATATTTGATCTTATGAAGTGTGTGCTTGATATTATGGTATAAAATACTTTTAGTATTTTTTGCTTGAAAATATATCAAAATAATTTTAT